GATAGCAAAGATTAGGGCAGAAATCAACAAAATAGAAACTTAAAAATAACTATACATAAATAAGTAAAACAAAAAGCTGTTTTTTTGAAAAAAATTAAATTGACAGACCACTTGCAAGATTAATGAAAACAAGAAGCGAGAAGATTCAAATCAATAAGATCAGAGAGGCCACAGGAAGCATTACAAGCATCCAAGAATTCCAAACGATTATAAAGGACTACTTTCAGAATCTGTACTCACAGAAGAAGGAAAACCTTGCAGAAATGATGAATTTTTAGAAATGTACAAATTGCCTAAACTGAACCAAGAAGAAACAAACCAGCTACATGAACCAATAACATGTAACAAGATAGAGGAAGTCTTCCAACAAGGAAAACCCAGGTCTGGATGGATTCACTGCTGCATTCTATAAGACTTTTGAAGATGAACTAATGCCAATAATACTCAAGCTTTTCCATGAAATAGAAACAGAGGGAGCAATTGCAAACCATACATACATACACACACACACACACACACACACATATATATATATATATATATATATATATATATATATATATATATCATCCCAAAACCAGGTAATGATCCAACAAAAAAAAAAAGAGAACTACAGACCAGTTTCTCTGATGAACACAGATGCAAAGCTCCTCAATACAATAATAGCCACTATGGGAGGGGATGGGAAGGGAAACAACGAGGAGGCAACAATGCTTATAAGAAATGTACTCATGGGCTGGGAAGGTGGCTCAGTGGTAGAGCGCTTGCCTTGCATGCATGAGGCCCTGGGTTCGATTCCTCAGCACGGAAGTGGCGCTGTGGCTCAAGTGGGAGAGCGCTAGCCTTGAGCTGAAGAGCTGAGGGACAGCGCCCAGGCCCAGCGTTCAGGCCCCATGACCAGACCCCCCCCCAAAAAAGAAAAGAAATGTACTCTTTATCTTGCCCATGTAATTGTAACTCCTCTGTATGGTATTTTCACAATTAAAAATAAATAAATAAAAATAATAATAGCCAACAGCAGGTGCTGGGGACTCATGCTTATAATCCTAGCTACTCAGGAGGCTGGGAGCTGAAGATCACAGTTCAAAGCCAGCCCAGATAGGAAAGTCCATGAGACTCTTATCTCCAAATTTTAACCACCAGAAAACCGAAGTGGCACTGTGGCTCAAGTGGTAGAGCATTCGCCTTGAGCTGAAGAGCTCAGGGACAGCTCCCAGGCCCAGAGTTCAAGCCCCACGACCCACAAAAAATAAATGAAATAAAATAAAATATTAGCCAACAGAATCCAGAAACAACTTTTAAAAAATCATACATTATGACCAAATAGGCTTCATCCCATAGATGCAAGGCTGGTTTAACATATGCAAATCAATCAATGTAATTTACCACATCAACAGAGACAAGGACAAGAACCACATGAGCATATCAATAGATGCAGAAAAAGCCTTTGACAAAATACAGCTTCCATTCATGTTAAATGCTTTGGAATAGAAAAAAAAATCCTTAATAAAGATAGCTGGGCACCAGTGGCTCATGTCTATAATCCTAGCTACTCAGGAGGCTGAGATCTGAGGATCACAGTTAGAAGCAAGCCCAGGCAGGAAAGTCCATGAGATTATTATCTCCAATAAACCATCAGAAAACCAGAAGTGGTGTTGTAGCTCAAGTAGTAGAATACTTGCCTTGAGCTGAATTGCTGAGGGACAGCGCCCAGGCCCAGAGTTCAAGCCCCATGACCAACACAAAAATAAATAAATAAATAAATAGATAAATAAGTAAATAAATGCAGTCTATATATGACAGATCAACAGCCAATTTCATAATGAATAGGGAAAATCTAAAACCATTTTGCCTAAAATCAGGAACAAGGCAAAGATGCCCATTCTCTCCACTCCTCTTTAGTATAGTTCTAGAATTCTTTGCAATAAGTCAGGAAAAGGACATAAAAGGGATTCACATAGGGAAAGAAGAAATTAAACTATCCCTATTTTCAGACGACATGATCTTATTCCTAAAGCACCCTAAAAACTACCTCCAAACTCCTAGAGCTGATCCTCTACTTTGGCAAAGTAGCAGGATACAAAATTAACCCACAAAAATCAGTAGTCTTTCTGTATGCCAACTATGTACAAGCAGAAAGGAAAACCCATGAAAACAACTTCATTTGAAATAGCCTCAAAAAAAACAACTTAGGAATTAATCTAACCAAAGATGTAAAAGATCTTTATAGTGAAAACTATTAAAAAAAATCTGGAGACAGAAAACAAAGAGGACACCAGGAAATGGAAAGACCTTCCATGTTCATAGAGGGGTAGAATCAATATTCAGAAAAGAGCCATACTGCCAAAAAAGATATACATATTCAGTGCAATCTCCATCAAAATACCAATGATGTTCTTTACTGAGATAGAGAAAACAATCCAAAAATTCTAATGGAACAACAAAAGACCTAAAATAGCCAAAACAATTCTAGGCAAAAATGCAATGCAAGAAATATCAGAATATCAGATTTCAAACTCTACTACAGAACCATAGTAACAAAAACATCTTGGTATTGGCACAAAAATAGAACCAAAGATCAATGGAACAGATTAGAAGACCAAGAAATAGAACAGCACACAGTCATATGATATTTGACAAATGAAGAAAACATAGCCTCTTCAACAATTGGTGTTGGGAAAGCTGGGCAGCCATATGTAGAAAACTAAAAGTGGATACCTGCTTGTCACCATGCACTAACATCAGTTCAAAGTAGATCAAAGACTTCACTGTCAGACTCGAAGCTCTGAAACTACTGCAAGAGAGAGCAGGAGAGATATTAGAACTATAGGTATAGGCAGGAACTTCCTAATAGAGTCCCAGGGGTCCAACTGATAGGTGAGACACCCAATTAGTGGGACTACATTCAAATAAAGTTTCTGCACAGCTAAGGACACAATTAGGACACAAACTAAAAAGACAGCCAACCAATTAGGAAAATATCTTTACCAGCAATACATCAGACAAAGGCCTAATATCCAATATATACATGGAGCTCAAGAAACTAACCCCTTCCAAACTTAATACACCAATTCCTAAATGGGCAAGGGAGCTAAGAAGAGACTTCTCAGAAAAAGAGGCAAGAATGGCAAACACAGGAGGTATCCCTGGCCATAAAGGAAATACAAACCAAGGATTCCAGTTAGATCGGCCAACATTTTGAATTTGAACAACAACAAATGCTGGTGTGGGGATATGGAGGAAAAGGAACCCTATAGCACTGCTGGTGAGAATGTAAGCTAGTACAACCACTCTGGAAAGCAGTCTGGAGATTCCTCAAAAAACTAAACATCTTCCCTACAACCCAGCCAGACCACTCATAGGCATCTACCCTGAACAATATGAGTCAGGATATAAGGACACCTGTACTATCCATGTTCATTGCCACACCATTCACAGTAGCCAAGATATGAAAACACCCCAGATGTCTACAGTAGATGAGTGGGTCCAAAAAATGTGGTACCAATACACAATGAAAATTTACATAGCCATTAGAAAGAACAAAATAATGTCATTTGCAGGAAAATGGATAGAACTAGAACAAATCATGTTAAGAGAGGTAAGCCAAGATCAGAGAGACAAATGGCATATGTTCTGTCTGATATGTGGAAGTTAGATCTAAAATGCACTGGGATATGACAGATTTCACAGGATCCTAGATATTCACATACAGTGAGAACAAAAGAGGAGAGTCTTAGGAGAGAATCACAAAGGTGCAGTGCCTAAGAGCCTGAAATGAACTCCAAAGATGTGGAACAAAGGCCTCTTAATTTGTTCTTTTTTTTTTCTTTTGCTGACGGTTCTGTACTCTTCACCTCATATAAAGTATATTCGTGTGCATATCTGTAGGAGGTTGGGGGAGGGCATAGAACCCAAGGGAAAAGGGTAAAATCGTGCAGCAGTGGAGCGCACTGGACATTGATGAAAGTGAACTATATAACTTGTGGGTAGAAATGGGAGGAAGGGAATGGGAGAGAATGAGGGAACAGATGACACTATACAAAAGGAAATATACTCATTATCTGACTCATGTAAATGTATCTCCTCTGTATATCACCTCTATAATAACAATAAAGTAAATAAAAAATATTGTTGTGGTCAAGCATCTGACTTGCCTCTGATTGTTGGTATTCAGAGCAAAAGATAAAATATGATAAATTGTAAAGCTCTGACTATCAGCAAAACAACACTGTCTCCTGGTTCTCTGGTCCTGTTTTAGAAAATATTTTTTAGCCAGGCACTGGTGGCTCACACCTGCAATCCTAGCTACTCAGGAGGCTGAGATCTGAGGATCACAGTCTAAATCCTGAGACTTTTATCTCCAATTAAACAGCAAAAATGCCAGTAGTGGTAGAGCATCAGCCTTGAGTGAGAAGTCTAAGCAAGAGCTGTAGGCCATGAGCTCAAGCCCCAGTATTAGCACAAAACATAAATAAATACATAATACATTCACGCATGCTTAGATACATACATAGAACTGGCTATATATAGGCGTCTTGTGTCTGGCATGATAATCAAAGTTAATTATTTCTGTTTAAAGCCCAAGCCTGTCAAGAATGACAGAAGGGGCACTAATTTAACCAAGATATAAGCAATTGACTATTGACAGTTAATTCCTGTGAGAGGTTTGACCAGAAACCATAGGTTTCTGCCATGAGTATGTCTAAACATAGTATTTCCAGTCTATAATTACAATAAGAATCCAAGCCACCACTCATTAAGCCTTCCTACATGCCAAGCATTGGGCTAAATGCTGCAGATACAATCTGATGAAGAAGGCTTTATGATGTTCATTTTACAGAAGAAGAAAAAGAAGTGCAGAGCTTGAAGCTGCTTGCCCCAAAGTCTCCCAAGATAATGGCAGGTGCAGGAACTGAGCTCGAGTCCACCAAAGCCTAGACTTTTTCTTCCCACTCTAAGTTGGCGTGATTTGCTTGATTGTTCCGTGTTTTTCCCACCAGGAGGCATGATTGAAGCATTCCCACCTGCAGACAGCATCACCAACCTCACTGTGGACATGCTGATAGAGCCCAGTGGAGAAATCACAGTGCTGTCAACGGGGGACCAGTTTCATGCCGAAGGCCCCTTTATTTCCTCTGGTACCACCATACCGCAGACCTCTGTGGATCCCAAAGTTCTCAAGTCTTTGTGCCTCCAAATTGGACAGGCCTGCAGAAAGAGAAAAGTGACTGGGTACTTTTCCATTGACCTGGTGACTTTTATTGATCCAAGCACCTTGGAACAGCGGGTAAGTTGAACTGATACGCCATAAAATACTAAAATTTGTAATGAATCTATACCTTCCATGTCCATGCAATAGAGCTTCTAGAAGTTTCTGTGCTCTGAATCAACTCCTGTAAGTCTGCTTCTAAAAGGGTCTATGTCAAACTATGCAAGACTAGTCTCTATGTCTAGAAAGGCAAAGCCAAAATCCTTACATGTAGGTACATTTGGAAGCCAAACCACCAACACAAGACCTATATAGCTATTTGCCAGGCCCCTCAATTCTCTTCATTAGTTATATTTGTGCCTGTGGAGAAACTGTGTGTGTGTGCTGATACTGGGATTTGAACTCAGGGTCTTGTGCTCTCACTTGGCTTTTTTGCTTGAGACTGGTACTCTACCACTTGAACCACAGCTCCACTTTTAGACAGTGAACCTATTTTTTGCGGGGGGAAGGGGGTCCAGTCGTGGGGCCTGAACTCTGGGCCTGGGCGCTGTCCCTCAGCTCTTCAGCTCAAAGCTAGCGCTCTATCACTTAGCCACAGCGCCACTTCCGGCTTTTTTCTTTTTGCTTATGTGGTGCTGAGGAATCGAACCCAGGGCCTCATGCATGAAAGGCAAGCGCTCTACCACTGAGCCACCTTCCCAGCCCCAGACAGTGAACCTATTTTATAACACCCAGTGGTTCCATCTATTTAAAGCCTGATGTTCTTAAATAGAAAATCAATTACTAGAAAGATGAATTTTCATTTTGATCCCTTTACTTAGTAGTAATTTACTAAGCAACTTAGGTTGACAATTTTTTTTCTTTTCATATATAGTGGAGGCTAAGCCAGGTGTCAGTAATTCATGCCTATAATCCTAGCTACTCAGGAGGCTGAGATCCGAGGATCACAGTTAGAAGCAAGCCTAGGCAAGAATACTTATGAGACTCTTATCTCCAATTAACCACCCAAAAGCCAGAAATATATAAGTCACCATATAACAAATGCCAAGGGTCCTCATCCAGAAAGTATCATCAGTACCACCTCTAGTCCTGTGAACTCCTTGCTGGACACATGGTGCTGAGGACAAGTGGAAGCTTTTCTCTTATATTTGGGGGTTTTGATTGCATCCCATACCTTTGCACATGGATATACCCAGAAATAAAATACAGTTCCATTCTGCATGTTTCTAAGCATTTCAGTGATTGTAACATCCCATATATTGTTAGGTTACAGTGTGCTTTCACTTCTCCAAGAGTACATTTGTGTCCTTCCGTGGACATAGCAGGACTAAATAATTATAACCTTTTTGCTATGCTTTCTCCCCTTCTTCCAAAATTGTAACATTTAAATTCCTTATAACTCCATGGGATTGGTGATTTGAAGTATTCAGTTGCTTCTCTTTCTCCTGTCGGGTGTCCAGACTCTGCCTGAAAGGTTACAGTGGTCCTCCAGCTTCCCTCTCTCCATATCCTCTAGTCATCCAGCATTGCAAATACACTTCAGATGTTTTAGATTCGTTAGTCTCAGTTTTATGGTTCTCCATTTCAGCCAGATGACGGCTTCATAGCGAGAGTTTATGGTTTTGGCAGTTTTCAGCTTGTTCAATAACCATTTTCCATTTGTCTTTCCAGGCCCTTCATTGGTTTTACATTCTGTTCTCAGACCCACACACTTGAGAGAGAGGGAGGACAGACTGAAGGGCATTCAGAAATCTACTCAGGCTGGAGGAAGGACAGAAACAGCGCCCCCTGGAGACAGAGTAGGGGAGCAGAGACACAGAGGCAGGAGGGACAGGAGAGGTCCTGGCCAAAGCATTTGTCATGAGAATGGAGGATAGAACCCATGGCTTCTGAAATGGTAGGGGATGGATAGCTGGAATTTGGGGGACAGCTGACTTGTTGTATTTGAGTTACGTATACAGAGACCTGCACACAAGAGTGTCACCTTACAAACACAGTGCTGGTTCTTCCCAGGGCTTACAACCCACCTGGGCTACTGGGGAAAAGATCTACTCTTCACTTGGCTGGCGCTATGCACCCAAGCAGTCCTATCTCACTCAATTCTCCTTCTCCTTCTTTCTTGTCCATCTACCCGGTTTCTCTTACTCATCATGCTACTGTCTGCCACAGAGTCTTAACACCAGCTGCTCCTCTGCCCGAGATGCTTTATCTTTTCTGCATCCTTCTCCTTTCCCTCTTCTTTCCCTTCCTCTGCTCTCTCCTTTTTCCCGCCACCATTCCTCTCCCTTTCTCTATTTTTTGTCTCCTTCTTCATCTCACTACCGAGCCCAGGTTAGCCCCAAGCTTGTAATTCTCCTGCCTCAGCTTCCTAAGTACTGATAGTATAGGCACATACTACCATGCTCGACTTATCTCTTTTTTAAAATATATTCAATTATGAATGGAACCCAGTGATTTTTTGGGGGTGGAGGGCACAAAATTACTAGTCCTTCTTTCCATCTATCATATTTCATTCAGCTCAGGCCAGTTGCAGTTGCTTTGGGAAGCTTTTTCTGACTTCCCTGATAAAGTCTTTTGTTTGAAGGTTGCTGTTATTATTGTTTCTGGTATTGGGGCTTGAATTCAGAGCCTAGATGCTATCCCTCAGCTTTTATTCCTCAGGGCAGATGCTCTACCTCTTGAGCTACAGCTCCATTTATAGCTTTTTGGTGGTTAATTGGAGTGGTTAATAAGTTTCTTAGATTTCATGTCCAGCCTGGCTTTGAGCCACAATCCTCCGATCTCAGCCTCCCGAGTAACTAGGATTATAGGTAAGAGCCACAGGTGCCTGGCTTCGTTTGCCTCTTTAAAAATTGAGCTATAATACAAACGATGATTTGTAGAAGCTCTTTGTATATAAAGAACTCATTCTCCGGGTTGGGAAGGTGGCTCAGTGGTAGAGCGCTTGCCTTGCATGCCTGAGGCCCTGGGTTCGATTCTTCAGCACCACATAAGCAAAAAGAAAAAAGCTGGAAGTGGCACTGTGGCCCAAGTGGTAGAGCGCTAGCCTTGAGCTGAAGAGCTGAGGGACAGCGCCTAGGCCCAGAGTTCAGGCCCCACGACTGGACCCCCACCTCCAAAAAAAGAACTCATTCTTCGATCTATATGTTGGAAATACCTTCTCCCAGACTGTCCTTGAATGTTCCATGTGTTTCCCTACTCCCTGTAATAATTTTCTGCCCCCTACCCAAAAAAATCACTGGGTTTCATTCACAATTGAATAAATAATACTTTTTGTGAGATGTTCTAAGAGTACCACAATATTTTTTCCTCATCAAATTCATCATAAACCTATCCAGTCCAAGTCTCTCTCTCTCTTCCAGTCACTCTCTCTCTCTCTCTCTCTCTCTCTCTCTCTCTCTCTCTCTCCCACCCCCCCTCCACCTTCTTCCCTCTCTTCCTCAGGGCCTCCACCAGTCCCATTTGCTCTTGGTTTTGTTTTATTTTTGTCCAAGACTAGTGCTCTACCTCTTAAGCCACAGCTCTAGTTCTGGCTTTTTCTGCTTTGACTGGAGATAAGAATCTCATGGACTTTTCTGCCTTGGTTGGCTTTGAACTGTCATCTTCAATTCTCAGTCTTCTAAGTAGCTAGGATTACAGGTATGAGCTACCAGCACCTGGCTTGGCCAAGTTCTATTGAATCAACTACCCCCAACAACAGTGGCAATTTTCTCTTCCCATTCCTTTCTCCAGTCACATGTTGTTAGTTTGCTTCAAGGGGGAGGGTATTCCTTCTCTACCTTTGCTACATGTTTGTTTATCTATGCCAATATGAACTTAGAATCGCTCTTCTACTTAACAGGTTGTATGTTGATTGTTTCATTATTCTCGTGCTAAAATAGTCCCAGGTTTAGGCAGCCGGTGATCTTTAAGAATAGCTTTGTATTCTTTTGACATGATCTGGTGATCACTGTCTTACTCTCTGGCAAGTAATGTTCCAGATTTATTTTATATTCTTCTTACCCTAGAAATAGGATCAGCCCAGAAGCCTTGGGTTCCTTAATGGAGGATAGCCCAGGCCCCTTACTGCTGTCATCACTGACTTAGTCTAATCTACACACTGCACACATGCATTGATAGCTATGTCTGTATCTGCAAGTGCATATGAAACCACCAATTTCTGCCTGTTTTAACCCATCTCACCCCTTCACCTTTTCCATGCTTAAATAACTTCTTCAATTTGTTTTTTTTAAATTTAATTTTATTTTATTTGTGAACATACTGTACAGAGGGGTTACAATTGCATGGGCAGGATAATGTGTACATTTCTTACCAAGCATTGCAGCCTCCTCCTTTGTTTACCCTTCACATCCCTTCCCAGCCTCTCCCCTCCCCCCCAATCCCAATCCTTCTCCTTCTCCCCTCCCCCCCTTCAATTTGTTTTTTTTGGAGGGACAGGGGGGTTGGTCATGGGGTTTGAACTCAGGGCCTGGATATTGTCCCTGAGCTCTTTTTCCTCAAGGCTAGCACTCTACCATTTTGAGCCACAGCTCCACTTACAGTTTTCTGGTGGACTTTCCTGCCCCAGCTGGCTTTGAACCCCGACCCTCAGACCTGAGCCTCCTGAGTAGCTAGGATTACAGGCACGATCCCCTGCAACTTCTTCAATATTAACAAACAAGGACTCAGGTCCTTGAACTTGCTAGGTAGTTGCTCTACCACTTGAACCATGCCCCAGGCCTTTTTTTTTGCTTTGGTTACTTTTTGAATAGAGTCTCAGGTTTTGTTCCAGTCAACCTCAGACCGAGATCCTCCTATTTACATCTCCCGTGTTGCTGGGATTATAATCATATGCCCTCATGCCTAGTTTGTTGATTGAAATCAGGCTCACTAACTTTTTGCCTTTTAGAACTGTGATCCTTCTGATCTCTGCCTCACAACTGTTACAAGTCTATGCCACCACATCTGGTTAAAAATCGGAGACTCTTTAGCCTCAGTTAAATCTGTTTAGTGTAATCAATTTTCCAGTCATCTTCTATACCTGATACATACCTCCATGCCTTGTGTGCCTAGCTGTCAAGCCTGCCATTTGTGTCTTG